CCCAACTCCCTCTGACCAGGGCAGCCCAGAGAGCTCGTTAGCAGCAGCCCCACCTAGCTAGAACTTCCCAGGAGAAGTTAAGTCAAGGTCCCCTGCAGGAGTCCTTGCCCAGCTCTCCCTTCCTGCTAGCAGCAAGCACCGTCTAGTTCCTCGGGGGTCCCCAGAAAGTCTCCACAACTTCCAACAAGGCCCACAAAAGGCCCAGGCAGAGCCCAGACACTGCTGCGCAAACTGCTGCGTCTGTTCGCTGCCTCTGTTGGCTGCGCTCTGGGAGCTGCGCTCTAGGCCTGGCTCTTATATAGGCCTCTGCCTAGCAGTGACTCACAAGGGTGCTTGACCCACCCAATCAGGAGCCACCTGAAACAAAAGCCCCAACTCCCTCTGACCAGGGCAGCCCAGAGAGCTCGTTAGCAGCAGCCCCACCTAGCTAGAACTTCCCAGGAGAAGTGAAGTCAAGGTCCCCTGCAGGAGTCCTTGCCCAGCTCTCCCTTCCTGCTAGCAGCAAGCACCGTCTAGTTCCTCGGGGGTCCCCAGAAAGTCTCCACAACTTCCAACAAGGCCCACAAAAGGCCCAGGCAGAGCCCAGACACTGCTGCGCAAACTGCTGCGTCTGTTCGCTGCCTCTGTTGGCCGCACAAGAAAAAAATATTTAAACTTTTTTCATTTAAAATATGATTAAAACATGTCATTGAAAAGACAAGAGACATATAGACTAGCGTGCTAGTCTATGAAAAGTAACATGCGTTTCCAGATGCTTACCCACGACAATAGGTATTAACATTTGGCCCTAATGTATAACAAACTAACGAACCAATTGGGTCCTTAGTTGGAAGATGACCCCGCCATCCTCTCATTCAACTCACTTGTTTTTTCAGAATGCCTGGGAACTTACCGAAGAAAAATTGTCCTGCAAAGTGTACATATACATTGTAACTGATATTTATATTACATATTCATACAATTGAATGCAATCTAATTTGATCCTGCTTGTAATTATTTGTAGTCTTCTGAATATTCATGTCACTCCTGAATTTTCTAGTTACAAGTCTTTTATAGAACTTTTCCCTTGCTGTCTTCAGCTTATGGGTATCTTTTATTCCAATTTCAGTAATATGTTCAAATGAAAAATTACTTCATCCAAGACTGAAGATATTTCTTACTCCCAAGAAGATGGATAGATGATATAAAACCTTCCAACACAATATCTCTTTCCTTTTTGTGGTTTTTTTTTTTGGACAGACATTTAAAGACTTCTCTGCCATGTACATAGCATTTTTTTAATATTAGTGTAATGATCAAACAAGAATATGCTCATCATTGCGATACACTAGTATCCCCAGCAAACACCATTCCTTCAGAGACACTCTCAACAAATTCTTTCCCAGATGTGGCAGAATCCCACTTCTGGACATTTGTCAGACTAAAGTATTTGGGTCTCAACAAAGACAGAAAAAAAGTTATGAGCCATAAAGACACAAGAGTGTCTTTGTACACAGGCAGATTTCTGAAATAATCAGGATTTCCAGTGTTGATGTTACCATTTCAAACAAACCAAATGCAGTGCTGTCGTCTTCAGACGCAGCACCTGCTTAAAGCATTGGGTGCTGACACTCCACCGCAGATTTTGATCTGTTCTAATAATCCATAAAATGGCAACATGTTCTCATGTATATGATTCTTTGACCCTGACAGATTTGTTAAGACGCATCCGGGTTCAACTAAGATTTTTATCAAAAGACATCCAGGTGCAAACTTCATAGATGGATTATATTTGCAAGAGGTATTACATTGGGGAATGTCCTCATTTTCTTTGTCAATTAAAACTAATAAATCAAAGGGATATATAACAAATGGTAGCATCTTACTTTCATGTTTTCCACTACTGTCAAGCCTGATCCTAAGATGAAGTAATTTGTACCTCTGTGATAGTGACTTCCCTGACATAATGAAATGTGTTTTTTCTAAGCTTTTCAGCAGTAGATACTACAGAGATGCTATCAGTTCTGATGTATTGACAGAGAAGCAGCTTATTTCAGCAAGAATGTGAAAATATATACTTAGTAGTAGCATAGTAATATGGAGACACAGATACAACCTCATCAGTGTTTCAGCCAGCATCTCCTCCCCATCCCCGTGAATGGAATAAATGCAACATTTTCTACAAAGAACTGATCACAAAATCTGCTCTTGAAAGAACTTCAAACTAACCCAGTTTCTGTCTACATTTCTGGACCCACACAAAGCTGTGTACATTATATTCATTGCAGATGCAATTGCAACACTTGTGAGCGTGGATGAAATCTTGAGCTGGAGAAAACCAACAGCAGAATTCTTGCTAATTTCCTAGGAGCTAGAACTACACAATCACTGTCAAAATACGTAATCTATGGTCACAATAAAAGATCAGGATGCTTAAGTGATGGAATTTGTAAAATTGTTGCCACAAAAATAGAGACTGGCCATGTATCATGATGCCAGGCGATCATTTAGAAAATGTATATACAGAGATAGATTTGGAGTCTTAACTGATGCCCCAACTTGGTAGTAGCACAACAACTGAAAATATCTTGCAAAGTTCACTCAGCAAAAACAATTCTGTTTCTCCTTCAGCTAAAGGCTAAAAGGTCTGCTACCATTATACTGTTCAGGGGATCAGTTAAGATCAACTTATTTCTAAAGTCAGAAAGGTGCAAATTCCTTTGACGTGTGAGAACACAAAATACTTTAAGAACTTGAAGAAAGAGAATGAATCCCAACGATTTGCAATATGATGGTGATCTGCATTTATTGCTATAGATTTATTGTGAAATCTGAAAAGAAATATGAGATAACCTTATGGCATTTCATTGATAATTGTATTTTTAGGGAACGTGTATTAACAAACATCCCATTTTTTTACTAGGCTTAGCTGTCAAACTGTTTAAAAATGCCATCAGGAAAAAGCAGAATAGCCTAAGTGTTTATTCAATAATCCTTTCTTTGTGTATCATATTACTCATGCCGCACAATGGAAAGCATCTAAAAAATGCTGGTTTTATAAGCTTAAAATGTGAAGAATTACAGGCAATATAAACAAATACGAATCTCTGATGCATATTAAAATAGTTATAATTTCACAGAGAGTACGTAAGATATCGATGCAATACCAATACCATATCTATCACAGGAAATGATTGTCCTGAAAGGCGATGCAGCAAGTTTAAAAAACACACTATACAAAAAACAAGATCAAAATTAAAAAAAAATCATAATTTTTATTTTGGCTTGCCAAATACCACACTGTCATCAGCATCTACATTTGATTGTTACCACTTTCAGGACATTACAGTACGTTGCTATAAAGTAATGCTAGCAATGCTTCCCACAGAAATGTAGTCATAATATCCTACCATGTGTATCTGCGACAAATGGCATAAAGCAAGACAGATCTTTTGCTCCATGTATAAGGGAACTCGATGAGCGCATTTTTAGCTACTGCATCACTGTGGTAAGTGAACTGCTTAGGTAACATCTACAATAAGAAGTCAACGCACTTCAGCCCTTCCTTTTTCTTTTGCTAATGAAACATAAGCTTTCAAAGGCAATTACAAACCTTGAGACAAATAGAGTGCAACTCTACTGATCTTCCCATGAAGTTAAACTGATCTGGGCCAAATGTGGCCCTGAACTGCTACTCAGCAACAATTATATCAGTTTAATGTAGGCTTAAAAAAAAACCAACATCTGTTCTTAAGCTCTACTAACAGGACATTAATTTTTGAAGCCTTAGGACAATGATACCGGTCAGATCACAGCAAAGACAACATTTGTTTAGCCTGCTCCTGAAAGCACATGGAATAGTTAGGGCCTAAATTATACCCAGGTAAAAAGTGTTTCCCAGACCAGCATTTCTTTAACATATTTACAATCTATTGATGAAAAAGAATGCCATAGGTGTGATAAAATCTTTCTAGATAATGTCCAGAAGTACCATGTAAAAAATTTTAAGGCAGTCTTGTGCACCAGTTAATCACTGCTGCAACAAAGCTTGCAGTACCTGAAGTACTTAAAGCAAACTACGTATTTCAGGTAGCTTCGTGTGGGCTGTAATGCAGCAGGGGAAGCAGGGACATAAACAGGAAGTTAGACCACGCGGGGCTCTGTGCTTTAACATCCATCTGACATCAAGAAAGCTACCTAGCTGGAAGCTAGATTGACTATAGCTATAAAATGTACTTTTAGAGCCCATTTTATTTTTGCACTAAGTCTGCTTGATAATGCACTGACATTTTACATGATCTGAAAGTGAGTATAAATTATAACTGTGTCCACTTTATGAACAATTTATAATCAGTGGCTATTTCCTGTTAGGAAACAAGGTGAAACCTTATCACAGACTCTTTCTATCCAAGGAGAGGGTCAAATCTGCAGCTAAAATATTTGGCGTAAAAAATGAAGAGTGGAGGAGGAGGGTCTAGAAAGCTAAAAGAGTTTCAGCGTGAACAAAAAGTAGGCCCTTTCAGGTCATGCGTACATGGGACAATTACAGACAGTCAGGAATTAACATCGCCATTTACTGGGCCGGCTGGACGAGGCAACTTTTGACCAGAAGCCAATGTAAAGATGCACAAAAATCTCAAAACACTAATGCAAACTCAGCCTCTGGAATGGCTACTATATTTTCTCTGTTTGGCCCTCCTATGATATGGTGAAGGAATTCAATGCTTTGTTAAATAAAATATTATTTGTCAATGACATTCCTAGAGCAAAACAAATATTCAAATATTTCCTCACTGATCTCAATTCTAGCCATTGTATAGAAAGTGTGTGACTAAAGATTTCTTCTTTGTTAAAAGCTTCTACATTCAAAGGCTCAGTGCTAACCTAGAATTTTGTAATGGAAGCAACTAGGGAGCCAACAGAAACATACGAAAATATAATAAAAATGCCTAAGACTGTATGGTATCTCGGCAT